GAAAGAAAGAAAGAAAGAAAGAAAGAAAGAAAGAAAGAAAGAAAGAAGGAAGGAAGGAAGGAAGGAAGGAAGGAAGGAAGGAAGAAAAAAGGAAGGAAGAGAGAAAGAAAGAAAGAAAGAAAAGAAGGAAAGAAAGAGGTGACAGTAACACTGAAGACATAATCCCAGAAGAAGACAATGACTCCAAAACATCCATAAGTAAAACCTCAAAGAAAAAAACAGCTTATACACAAGCTCAACTAGAATTTCTAGAAGAAATGAAGCAAAAGGTTTTTGTTTGTTTGTTTCTTTTTTTTAAGAATTAAAAATTATTTTGAAAACCAAACAAGAATGTTATGGAAGAAAGATTCAGGAAGAGAATGAACAGTTTAGAACAACAGGTATAAAACCTTATTTAAAAAATAACTCCCTGAAAATTAGAATAGACCAAATAGAAACTAATTACATGAGACAAGAAGAAATATTAAAACAAAGCCAAAAGGCTGAAAAAATAGGAAAAAAATGCAAGGTGTCTCAGAGCAAAAACAACTGTCCTAGAAAACAGACTGAAGAAAGATCATTTAAGAAATATTAGACAACCTGAAAGAAATGACCAAAAAAGAGCCTAGACATCATATTTCTTTTTTTTTTTTAAGGCAATCAGGGTTAAGTGACTTGCCCAGGGTCACACAACTAGTAAGTGTCAAGTGTTTGGTCTGAGGTCGGATTTGAACTCAGGTCCTCCTGACTTCAGGGCCAGTGCTGTATCCACTGCATTACCTAGCTACTCCCTAGATATCATATTTCAAGAAATCATAAAACTACCCAGATCTCTTAGAACCAGATGGCAAAGTAGAAATAGAAAGAATCTACTAGCCATCTCCTGAAGAAAAACCCAAAATGAAAACTTCCAGGAATATAATAACCAAAATCCAGAGCCTCAAGGTCAAAGAAAAAAATACCACAAGGACCCAGAAAGAGAGAATTTAAGTACAAAGGAGTTACATGTTGGTATCATACTCAATTTAGCAGCCACCACTATAAAGGAGCAGAGAGCTGGGAATATGATATTCCTAGTCAGGTTTACGATCAATAATAACTTACCCAGCAAAAACTCCATTACCCCTCACATAGGAGGGAAAATTAACTTTTAGTGAAATAGAGGACTTTCAAGTTTTTCTAATGAAAAGATCAAAGCTGAGCAGAAACTTTGAAATATAAACATAGGAGTTAAGAGAAACATAAAGGTAGACATGAGCAAACAATCATGAGGGACTGGATAAGGATAAACTGTTTACATTCTAATATAAGAAGATGATACATGTATCCCTTAAGATGTCTATCATCATTAGGGGTCAGAGGGAGTGTCTAATTAGACAGAGGGCCTGGGAGTGGTTCTGTTATGCTTAAAAGAAGGATGGAAAGGAAGGGAAAGAGGAATACACTGACGGTAAAGGCTAAAAGGATAGGAAGGATGATGGAAATTATCTCACATAATTGGGATACACAAATAAAAGTCTGTATAAGAAGGAAGGGGTTGTAGAATGAGCAACATTTGAGCCTCACTTTTATCTAAACTAGTCAAAAGAGGGAAGAATATACATACAGAGTGGAGTATAGAAATACTTTTCATGTAGGGAAACAGCAGGTAAGGGGAGGAGGAAAAAAGACGAATTAGAGAGAAAGTAGATTAAGAGAGTGATTAGACAAGCAAAACTAAGTAAGGAGAGTGCAATTGAAATTATAAGAATCTGTTATTGGGCTCTGAGTAAGGGAAATAGAAGAGGGGCAGGGGAAGAGAAGCACATTACACCAAATCTACAGCATTAGTGCTAAGCTTACTCCTTATCTTTCATCGCCCTCTTTTTCTTTATGAAGAATGGGTATGAAACAAAGAGAAGGAAAAGTATAAGAAAATAAGATGGAGAGATATACACAATTAACAATGATAACTATGACTGGGAGTATCATGAACTCACTCATAAAATGGAAGAGCACAGAAATATGTATTAGAACACAGAATACAACAATATATTCTACACAAGAATGAAACAGAAAGCTGCACACATAGTAAAACAAAAGGTGGGAGTAAAATCAATTACATTTTAGCTGAAGCAAAAAAAGGCAAATTAGCAAAGTTGACTTAAAAAAAAGGAAAATGACAGATTCTAGAGGCTTTAAGAAAAACAGGCACATTGTCTAGGGTCACAAAGCTGGAAAATGTCTGAGGTCGATTTTGAATTCATTCTTTCTGATTGCAAGTCCAACATTCTATCCATAGCACTGCCTCAGTACTGCCTAGTATTTTGGTTCATTACCACCATTGAAGTAAATACCCTGTACTCTGGATTATACCATTGTACTAACAATGCTAGATTCTGTATATGCTGGTAAGTAAATGTATTAGAGACTTCTGGAGGAGAAAGCTTCGTATCAACTATACCACAGTAGTAAATACAATAATACTTATTTCTGAAAGATTAAGTCTGACTGACTAATTGATAGACCAAAAAAAAAAAAAAAAAACATGAGGGAAAGCACTTTGCTGGGGCTTATGAACTATAGCATAGGAAAAGACAACCCCCTAATCCTTCAGAGCTTTCCCAGCCTTTCTCTGGGAACCCAACCTGCCAGTTTTAGTGCAAGTAGGGAGAATAGCTCCAAAACAATGCCAAGCTTGGCTCCTGACTTTTGGCATCATCGTGAAAGATAATAGTCATGGCTGGCCAGTTTCTAGCACTCCACCACACAGAATAGCTTCCCCTTACCTCTCATCAAATGCTGTCCAGTGGCCTGGCTTCATCAACGTTTTCATTTTCTAGGTGGAGCTTCAGGATCTTGCTCACAGATTGTTAAAATTGAGTAAGAAGATGAGAGTCACAGGTAGGTCAAGGTGCTATGAAGAAACATGTGCTAAAAAAGAAAGTTATCTATCAGTAGAATAGCTAGTTTGGGAGGAAGCTGGTTTCTTTGAATTGAATATCAAGTAAAGTTAAAAGACTACTTGTTAGGTATGTTATAGAGGGAATTCTTTTCAGGTATAGCATGGGATAGATGAACAATGAGCCAATTTAGATACCTAAAATCTTATGATACTACAAAGAGCCCTTGTATCAAAGTAATGCGTATTATGTGTTTGAAGATGTCAAAGTGATAAAAAAAGTCAGTTATTATTAATCCCTCTTCCCAAATGACTGCTTTTTAAGACTTTAATGATAGTCTCAATGGACCCTGCCTCTGTCTAACTGTGTCTGGAGTATATTGTTCAGTTCTGGGCACTGCCATTTGACATTGATCAGCTAGAGATCCAAAGGAGGCCAACTAGAATGGTGTAGGGTTTTGAGTCTATGCCATTATGAGGTTGAAGGAACTGGGAATGTTTAGTCTGGAGAAGAGCCCAGGGAGAGAATGTGCACCAGGGGAAGAGTAGGTCTCAGACTCATACAAAGGGCACACCCAGATCCATACTGGGACACTGAAACAAAAATGGGTGCCAAATGGCAACTTTGTCACTTGCTACCCAGTCCCAGGTCCCAGATCCAGGGTAGAGTGAAAAGGAGACCCGTACAAGGGGACCTACTTCTCAAGTAGGGAAGTTCTAGGTGGTTCTAGGTGGAGATTCTAGAAGGAAGTTCAGAAAGCAGCATCAACAGTAGTGATGTGGCTCAGACCTCAGGCAGAAAGCAGGGTCTCTTTTCCAATGTGTAGCTTAGCCTGCAGAGGAATAATCAGGGTGGGAATCCCAGACCAAAGGGGAGCCTACAATTCTGCTGCTCTGAGCCAACAGAGCTTTCCAGCTGGCTGATGGGCAGAAGCCAGCAGCAGTCTACTCTTGCTCAGACCCAAACTCAGGTTAGAAACTTGTAGAGCTCAGACTGGGGTGGAGGTGAGACATTAGAAAAAGCAATAAGTAGATGTAACTGTAGATCATTTTGGGAGCACTGAAAGCTTGCAGGTCCCCAGACTGTCCCCGATATCCTGGAGTAACACAACATTCAATTCTCCCAAGGAAACAGCAACAGTACCAACCCAGACTTTCCCTCTAGAAGTTCTACAGGAGCTCAACATCAAGTCCAAAATCAGGAAGTAGACTGGAAGAATGGGAAAAAGCACCACAATGAGCTATTATGGTGGCAGGGATCCTCAAGACACAAATGCAGAAGACAGTAACTCCAAAACACCTACAGGCATTGCCACAGAGAAAAACATAGCTTGGACACAAACTCAGTTAGAATTCCTGGAAAAAATTAAGCAAAAGTTTTTTAAAAGGGTTTAAAAACATTTTTTATAAAAGAAATGAAAATGTTCAAGGAAAAATTGGAAAAGAAATGAGAGCTATGAAAGAAAGAATTGGAAAGAGGATTATTTGCTTGGCACAGGAGGAATAAAACCTTGCTTAAGCAAAAAATGCCCTAAAAATTCAGATGGACCAAACAGAAATCAATGACTCCAGGAGGCAACAGGAAATACCAAAACAAGGTTCAAAAGTTGAAAAACAAAAAGAAAAGAAAGTATCTCAGCAAAATCAAGGAGGAAAACAAATCATGAGGGGAAATTTAAGAATCATTAGACTAGCTGAACACTATAACCAGAGTTATAGATATCCTATTTCAAGAAATGCTAAGAGAAAACTGTCTAGATCTTTCAGAACAAGAGGGCAAAGTGGAAATACAAAGAATTCACCAGTAAATTCCTGAAAGACAGCCCCAAATAAAAACTCTCAGGAAGTTCCATAGCCAAAATACACAGTGTCCAGGTCAAAGAAAAGATACTGCAAAACAGCCAGAAAGAAAGAATTCAAGTACCAAGAAGCCAGAGTAAGGATCACACATAATTTAGCAGCCACCACTATAAAGAAGCGGACAACTCGAACTATGATATTCCAGAAGGCAAAGGATATGGGCTTACAGCCAAGAATAACTTACCCAGCAAAACTGAGTATAATGCGTCAGAGGGGAAAATGGACCTTTAATGAAATAGAGGAATCCCAAGCATTGCTGATGAAAAGACCAGAGCTGCAGAGAAACTTGAAAATACAAACATAGAAGTGAAGAGAGACATAAAAAGGTGGACACGAGTGAGCAAAGATAAAGAGCTAAACAAGAATAAACGGCTTACATTCAAATAGGTGAGATGATACACGTGTGCCCTCTGAACCTTATCATCATAAGGCTTCATGGAGGGAGTCCAACTAGACAAGGCCTGAGAGTGGTTCTGTTGTGTCTTGATGATCTTAAGAAAAGAATGGAAAGAGAAGAAGAAGAATACACATGGCATGGGGAAGGAGGGAAAGGAAGGGCAGGTGAAATAATTTTGCATAATCGGGGTACACAAGTAGACATCTATAAAACAAGGAGGTGAGGTGGGGGGAGCAGCTGACACTTGAACCTCGCCCTTATCTGAACTGGTCAAAAGAAGGAAGAATATTATATACAACTGTGTGTGTACAGAAATATATTTAACTCAGCAATGAAATAAGTGAAAAAGGGGAGAAGGGGGTAGGGAGAACTAAAGTAGATTAAGGGAGAGATTAATCCTGAGCAAAACAAACACTAAGGATATATAAAAATATTTATAGTTCCTTTTGAGATGGCAAAGAATAGGAATTAGAGGGGGTGCCCATCAACTGGGGAATGGATGAACAAGTTATGACATATAAATGTGATGGAAAGCTATTATGCTGAATTCTAATCAGAGTAATGATTAACTGGAATTCCAGAGGTCTAATGATGAAAAATGCTACATACCTCCTGATAGAGAGGTGAAAGACTCAGAATGCAGAAAGAGATAAATTTTTTAAAAAAATATGGCCAGTGTAGACATTTATTTTGATTGACTATACATGGGTGTAGCAGATTTTGTTTTTCATGTGTTCTCAATATGGGGAGGCACAGTAAAAAGGCTAATATTTGAAAATAAAATAAAATTTAATTTTTTTAAAAGGCTATCACGTGGGGGCAGCTAGGTTGGTGCAATGGATAGAGCACCAGCCCTGGAGTCAGGATGACCTGAGTTCAAATCCAACCTCAGACATTCACTAGCTGTGTGGCTCTGGGCAAGTTGCTTAACCCTGATTGCCTCCCTTCCCCACCTTACCCATCCAATTCAGCTCAGCCCCAGTGGGCAGAACTAGAATGCATGGAAGTTGCAAAAAAGCTCATTTAGACTACTTAAAGGAGGAAACTTTCCAGTAAATTAGAACCAACTAAAGGTGTGACGAACTGCCTTGGAAGTAATGACTTCTCCCTCACTGGAAGTCTTCAAGCAGAATCTGAATGATCACTTGCGGGGTAAATTGTAATGAAGATTCTCTTTCAGACAGGAGCTGAACTAGAAATGGCCATGAAGGTCTAGTCTAACTCATTATCATCTATATCTCACTCACTGTATATAGGCGTCTTCCAGGGCTCTGTCCCAAGTCTTCATATCTTCTCACTCCAGGCTTTCTTGTGACCTCATCATTTTCCATGAGTTCAATTATCACCTTTATGCAGATGACTCACAAGTCTATATATCCACCCCTCATCTCTTTCCTTAGATCTAGTTCTACATCACCAGCTACCTGTTGGATACCTCCACCTGGATGTCTCCATTGCTGTCTCAAACTCAAAACATCAAAAGTGGCCCTCATTATCTTCCCTCCTAAACCCATTCCTCCTAATTTCCCTATTTCTATCAAGAATACCATGATTGAGTATCGATTGCAATCCCAAGGGATCAGAGGCTCTTCCTTGGTAAGGATCACAGTGCAGGCAAAAACAACAGTGACCACACCAGATCATTCCACCTTAGAGGCATCAAAAACTTCCAAACTCCTAGAACTAGCTCTGAAAACAGCAGTGCAAAAAAGCCTAAAGCTTAAGATGGAGTGTGCCCCCCACCCACTTGGAACAGAGCTCAACATTGACATAAAGTTCCAAATCAAGAAATAGAGTATGGATATTAGCAAACAACAGGAAAGAACCTGACCATAAAAAACTACTATAGTGATGGGGAAGATCAAGACACAAATGCAAAAGAAGACAATAAAGTCAAAAGAGCTACAAGCAAAGTCTCAAAGAAAAATGTGAATTGGACACAAGCCCACCAAGCATTTCTGGAAGAGCTAAAACTGATTTTCAAACTCAAATAAGAGTGTTAGAGTCAAAAATAGGTAAATAAATGAAAATAAAGGAAGAAAACCATAAAAAAAATCTCTTGGTAAAAAAGGCACCAAAAATACTGAAGAAAATAACACCTTAAAAATAGAATTGACCAAATGGAAAAAGAGATACAAAAATTTGCTGATGAAAATAACTACTAAAAAAACACAACTCCTTAAAAAGCAGAATAGGCCAAATGGAAAAGGAGGTACAAAAGCTCACTGAAGAAAATAATTTCTTAAAAATTAGAATTGGACAAGTAGAAGACAATGACTTCATGAAACATCAAGAAATAATAAAGTCAAAAGAATGAAAAAAATAGAAGAAAATGTGAAATATCTCTTTGGAAAAAAGCAAAACAACTGACTTGGAAAGTATATTGAAGAGAGATAATTTAAGAATTATTGGATTATCTGAAAGTCATGATCAAAGTAAGAGCCTAGACATCATACTTCAAAAAATTAACAAGAAAAACTGCCCCAATATTCTAGAACCAGAGGGTAAAATAGAAATTGAAAGAGAACCCAAAATGAAAATTCCCAGGAATATTATAGCCAAATTCTAGAGTTCCCAGAACAAAGAGAAATATTTCAAACAGCAAGAAGGAAACATTTCAAATATTATGGAGCCATAGTCAGGATCACACAAGATTTAGCTGCTTTCATGTTATAGGAGCAGAGGGCTTGAGATATGATATCCCAGAAGGTAGACAATCATAGGGGAGCACAAGGGATCACAACCAAGAATAACCTACCCAGCAAAACTGAGTTTAATCCTTCAAGGGATTAAACAGATACTTAATAAAATAGAAGACTTTCAAGTATTCCTGATGATAAGACCAGAACTGAATGGAAAATTTGACTTTCAAAATACAAGACTCAAGAGAAGCACAAAAAGAAAAATCTGGGAAGACTTATATGAATTCATGCAAAGTAAAATGAGCAGAACCAGGAGAACATTTTACCCTAATAGTAATATTGTAAGGGTGATCAACTGTGAAAGACTTAGCTACTTTGATCAAGATAATGATCTAAGACAATTCCAAAGAGCCCATGATTTAAAATGTTATCCACCTCCAGAGAGAAAATTGATGAGCTCTGAGAGCAGATTTAGGCATGCTTTTTAAAGCTTCCTTTATTTTTACTGTTTTATTTTTGTTTGTGTTTTCTTTTGCAACATGGCTAATATGGAAATGTTTGGCATGTCATCGCATGTATAACTGAAATCAAAGGGCTTGTTTTCTCAAGGAGGGAAAGAGAGAATTTAGAACTTAAAATTTTTAAAAATGATTTTTAAAAGTTCTTTTGCACATGATTGGGAAATATTTAATGAAATAAATAAAAAATAATTTTCAAAAAAGAACATTTAGTCATCCATTTTCCAGCTGGCTGCCCTCCTTTGGACTTCTTTAGGATCCCAGGCATCTCACCATCCTGCAAGATCACACCAGTCCTGGTATTCACACCTCATCAACACTCTCTGCCCCTGAAACCCTTTGGATTGAAGAGTGGAACAAAGGGCATGTAACATCAACAACAAAGTATAAAGAATCTGGCAATAAAACAAAATAAAAATCCAAAAGTTCATCAGTAATTATGTGGGCACTCTGGGGTATCTGCTAAGCTTCCTGGGTCCCTTTCAAGTTCTCAGAGCAACTTTCTGTCACTAACTCCTTGTGTGGATAGTGTTGTTTTCTTATATTAGTTTTGGGACTGTGTCTGAATCATCCAATTAAATATTATAGCTTATTTTGTTCTCATCCCAGTGATTCCCTCCATGCATTTCTTACCTACTTTATTTTAAGGTCATTTATAATCACATATGGCATAAGAGCATTTAATCAGATTCAAAAATAGGTAATGAAAGTAGAAGCATTAGTAACAATCATAGACTATCCATTCCATGCATTCCCCACATCCTACCCAGGCTTTTTCTCATCTCCCACGCAGGGGATGAGAGCTAACCCACAGATTTTTCAGTTCTTGCTTATTTCCATCTGGGAGCTGAGCAATAACAAATTACTTGTCTGTCTCCTGCTTCTGCAAGGAAAGATAAAGCTTCCATGCAGTTTGGTTCCACAATAATAAGGGCAACATTTGTTTCTGATAGTTTAATGCCCTAGTTTGCAGTTGGTTTTTGTAAAGGTGCCATACAAAGCTGATAAATGTATATACTCTTTATGATTTCTATTCAGTAGTCACCAAAAGTCTGATATCAATAGGGAATAGGGAATCCCATATGATTTGATTGCTATAGAGAATTTCTGGGTGAAGAAATTTCTTCAACTAGTGCAGGTCATCACATTCTCTGTAATCACTATTCTTAAAGAGTTGCTTTGAGCACTGAGAAGTTAAGTACTTGCCCAGAATCTCATAGCCAATATATCTTAGGGATGAGACTGAAGCTCAGAACTTCCTGGCTTTAAATCAATCTTTCTGGAATTTTAAGATAATTATTCGATTGTTTTTGGCTTAATTTTAGAGTCCAGCATATTTTATTGTTTTCTAATTCTATGAAAAGTGTAATCCATGCACAGAATAGATGCCATTAGATGTTTTAAAAGAGCATGAGGGAGTGAAAAAAACCCTGGACTGAGAGTCAAGAGGCTGGGCTTACTATCCCAGCTCAGATGCTGCGTGTGATCATGAACAGGTCACTTTCCCTCTTAAGCTTCTGCTTCCTCATCTGGAAAGTTGAGATAATAATATTTGTGCTACCTACCTTACAAGTTGTAAGGAGAGTGCTTTATCAACTTTAAATGACTATGTAAGTGTAAGTCATTGTTATCTTACAGAGAAGGAAACTAAGAACCAGCAAAGTTAAATTACTTTTTTAAAAACCACAGAATTGTAGCATTAGAAGAGATCCAAGAAGCCATCTACTCCAGTCCTGAACAGGACAGAATCCCTTGCTCACGGTCACACTGTCAGTAGCAGATCTAGGATTAGGACATAAATATCCCAAGCTGAGTATTCTTTCACTATATCTGAGAATGATTCTCAGTCAAGGTAATGCTCAGTTAGTATATATTTAGTTAGGATTCTGAGGGTTCTCTCTCGATGCACTTTTTCCAGGTGATCGTTAGTTCGTATACATCTAATTATCTGTGCAGATGACTCATGAAGGCAGAGTGGCACAGTGGCCTCTAGCCCTAAAGTCAGAGAACCTGGCTTCAGATTTCATCCGTGGCCCTTATTGCTCTGTGACTTTGGGCAGCCTCTTCGCTAACCTTGGCCTCAGTCTCCTCCTCTGTGGAATGAGGAGTTTGGACTCAGTGGTCTCCATTGTACCTTCCAGCTCTCGAGCTAGGATCCTATGACTCCCAAGTCCCAATCCTCCCCTTAGACTGCAGTCCCATACCTTCACAAGAATATCTAACAGACATCTTAAACCAAACACATGTAAAATAGACTCATCATCTTCCCCCTCCACACATCCTTATTCTTCTGGAGGTCACCACTGCCCCTCTAGTCCCCCAGGTCCACAACCTTCTAGAGTCACCACTGACTCTTCCCCCTTCCTTGCCCTCACATTGCCCATGCTCATTCCAATCAGCAGCAGAACCTTATGCCTCCGCAATATCTTGCCTCTCTTCCAACCACCACCCTCGTTCAGGTCCCCATCACCTCTCTTCTGGACTGTTACAACTAGTCTTTCCCTTCACTAACCCATCTTCCACCTAGCTGCCAACAAAATCAACACAAGTCTGGCCCTGCTACTCTCCCACTGCTTTTTATATAAAATACAAATATAATACATATCTTAGTATGTAAATCCCTTCACAATCTGGTTCTCTCCTATTTTCTGGTCTTACTTCACGTTATTCCCTTTGATACGTTTTCAATTCCAGGCAAATGAACCTACTTGTTATTCCCAAATTAGGCATTCTATCTCCCATTTCCAGGCCTTTCCATAAGCTATCTGCCATGCATACAACAACAACAATAACAACAGCCATCATCCATACAGTGCCTTAAGGTGACAAAGCATTTCATGTATTTTTTCTCATTTCCTACTCATTTCTGCCTCAGCATCCCTACCTGTTTTAAAGGTTCAATTCAGGAGCCATCTCCTTCATGAAGCTTTTCTTGACTTCCATACTTTCTCAATCCATTCTATTTCTTGGTACTCTCCTCTTCAGGTAAATTTAAATGGACTTATCTGTCTATATGTTGTATCCTCTCACAGAATGTAAACTTGAAAGCAGGAATTTGAGATTTTCGGGGTGTGTAATCTTTATATCCCTATCACTTACTATAGTGCCTTGTATACTGTATGTACCCAGCAAATATTTGTTGAATTGAATTAACCAAATGCAACAGTGGCCATTCCATGGAACATGGTGGAATATCCATCATGGAGTGTCTCATGGAGAAGGGAACCTTTACTCTGGTCCCTTCCAATGAGCCATTTGATAAAGATCATGTATAATTAGAGCTTCTGATTAGTCCCCATGTGTGTACCTCTCCTGAAACTGGGGGCTACATCAAAAATGATTGGCCACTGAGCCATGAAGAAAAACCCACTTAGTAGACTTTAAAAGCAATGACTGCACTGACATGCTCACTTTTCCCATCTGTCAGTCTTGTTTTCCTATCTGTCAGTATGTGCTGAATTTCTCCCTCAGACTGTCTGGGGGGGAAGGGAAGGCTGCCTTTCCCACCTCACACCCATATATAACTATGATAGCTACCTATACATAGCAACGAGTGCCTAAGCTTTCTAGGTGAGTCTGAAACTGAATTTCAAGGACCAGACAGCCTTCTCTGCTTCATGTGTCTTTCCCTGAGCACAGGAGATTTAACTGTGATCATGATGAAAGATGGATTTCTCAAGCCTGATGGCCACCTTGAAAGTTCAGGAGTCCCTAGGTTTCACCGGCAGTGCCAGCTGCCCTGGGAGAGATGCTCCCTGCAGCTCCAGTTTCCCAAGGAAAAAGATTAGTCAATAAAGAAACATTTTTTAAGTGCCTACTCTGTGCCAGACATTATACTAAGTGCTGTGAGGACAGAAGGAGACGAAAGACAGTCCCTGCCCTCAGGAAGCTTGCAATCTAATGGAGGAGGCAACAAACAAATATAGACAAAGCAAGCTTTAGATAGGATAAATAGGAAATAATTAAAAGAAGGAAAGCAATGGAATTAAGAGGGATTTGGGAAGGCTGAATGCCAAACAGCATTTTATATTTGCTCCTAGAGGCAGTAAGTGCAACCAGCATCAGGTAATGGAAACACAGATCAACCCAGAACCCCAAAAGAGTGAGCACTAATTGCCTTTGGGTCCACCCCATCTGTACTCATGCAGGAAAAAGTATGCTGGATTATAGAGTCAGAAGACATGGACTGATTCTGCTATTTACTACCTATGAAACATTGGGGAAGCCCCTTTACCTTTCTGGGCCTCAGTTTCTTCATCTCTAAAAATGAGGGTGTTGCTTCAAATATGCTTTCTTTGAGTTCAGATTTTCTGGCTCCTGCACGTATGTGTCTCTAGCTTAAAGAGAATAAACAGCATGTATACAAAAAAGAAAAATGAGGATGTTGGAGTGGTTGGCCTCTACAATCTCCTCTAGCTCTAAATCTATGATTCTCTGAGCCCCAACATTTCCGGCGTGTCAGCACCAAATGGAAACCACTCATCTGTTCAAAATACAGCGTGTTGCAATAACTCATCACTCCTATGATATTCTCCAGGGAGTTTGCTACTTAAAACAACAAAGCATGAAACACTCTGTAGGACTGCTGACCAGGCATATTTCATCTTCCCCTCAGCTATGTTCTGTCTGAGCAGCTCATTCAAGCTTTCCAGTTTCTGGCCAGCGGAGGATACATGGGCCACTGCCCTGTTGATGGTCATTGTCTCATCCTGAGTTAAATTGTCTCATCCTATGTTAAATAGCTAGTAAATGGCTAAATTTGAACCCAGGTCTTCCTGATTCCAGGTTCAGTGCTTTATCTACTCCTCTACTTAGCTATCTCAATTAAGCTATCTCTTAATCACAAAGATTAAAGAGGACTGAGAAAGGCATTTGGCAGATGGTAGAACTTTAGGGGAGACATGAAGGAAGATGGAGGAGCCAGGAGATAGAGATGAGGAAGGACCCAATACTATGACTCTTATTATGTAGATAAACCCCATTAATTTTGATATTCTATAATATTCATAAGCCATTTTTATGGGGCACATTCTCAAATTCTGCTTCAAGGTTGGTTGGTTTGTTTTCGTAAGCTCCCTAGTGGGTCTGTTACTGGTAAAAAAAAAAAGTCACATCCATTTTTAACTGTTGCTAAATAACGTCTAAATTCTGTCAACCATGTTGTTTTTATTAAAGATTAATAAAGATAAAACTAAATGACAATCTCAATGAGGGTTCTATCCTATTTTATAGCATTTGACCTTATTTGCAAAGAGCTTAGGAACTGTCTTACAGACTCACAGCATCACCTGGCAACTCGGTTGCAAGGCAGAGAAATTGCCGAATTGTAAGATTTGGGGGGGCGTAAGAGATCTTAGAGATCAGTCCCCTCATTTTATAGATAATATCATTTTGTCTAGAATTGATGCTTGAGTGAATATTAAAA